TGACCATAAATTGTTTATTAATGCAAAATAAGAAAACACACAAGCAGAACTAAAGCTGAGTGGAATGGTTTATCTGCTAGATTTAGCTGGTAGTGAAAATGTTAGTAAAACTGGAGCTAAGCTGCTGAGCTGCGTGATGCTAAAAACATTCTCCAAGTCAGTTCCTGCTCTTGCTAATGTCATTTCTTTCCATATGGAGATAATAAAAGGACAAAACTTCTGCAGGACTCATTAAGTGGTAACTCTGAACCATTATTTTAATTTGCTGCTTCCCACTATCATGTAATGAGTCTGAAACAAAATCTACACTCCTACTGGGTCAAAGAGCCAAAACAATAAGAACACAAGTTTCTTGAGTGTAGAGTTAACTGCAGAACAGTGAAAAAAGAAATATGAATAGATTCATTCATAGGAAAATGGATACATATTGAAGATATATTCCTAAGTGAAATAAATAAATCACACATGTGTAAATACCAAATAATTTCCTAGGAGTGAATAATCTGCAATAATACATAAGATCCTAATAAGATTACTGACATTTAGAAATGGGAAGAAAGGAGCTAAAAGGTGTAGGGAAGGTGGGATGGGTAGGAGAAGGGTAATAAGGGAAAAGAAAAAAATGTGAGATAATGAAAAGATGAAAATAAAGTGTTTGTAGATGGGCAGGGGAGGAGGGAGTGAAGGGAGGGCAGGGGTAAGGGGAAAAAATGAGAATCAAGACATGTAGAGGTACAAGATCCCAATAATGAATGTAACTGTACTGTATCCCTAAAATGTACCAATGAACTCAATTAAAGCTGAAAAAAAGAAATATGAAAAAGAAAGGAAAAAAATAAGACCATGTGGAACACCATTCAATGGCTTGAAAATGAACTCAGTGGGTGGAATAATGGAGAGACAGTGTCCACTGATGTACAATTTGACAAAGAGAAAGCCAATTTTGGTTGCTTTCAAAGTGGCTAAAGAAGTTACTATTTCCATTGATAAACCAGCAGCCATGATTGGAGCCACTGGAAGTTTCATCGATGATGAAAGAAGAAAGTATGAAGAAGAAATTACTAAATTGTACAGACAACTTATTGATGAGGATGAAGACATTAACCAGCATAGCCAATTATTAGAGAAATTGAAGATGAAATGTTGGATCAGGTAGAGCTTCTGGTATTTACCAGAAGAGATCAAAACAGTATACAAATTAAGCTGAATTGCCTTCAAGTGGAAAATGATGCTTTTCAAGGAGAAATAATGAAATTTTACATGCCTTAAGGAACTTGCTACCAGTTATGATCAGAATTCTCAGGAAGTTGAAGATAAAACTAAACAACATGAATTATTCAGTGATGAGTGATGAATCAAATCAGAAATTGGAAACTTTTGTTTTTTTGATAACAGGGATCAAACTTGGGACTTTCCACTTGCAAAGCATGAGGCACAACCACTGAACTAAATCCCAAGCCCAGAAATTGGCAACTTTTGTGAGTGCAGATGCTAAGCTTCAGAAATTGAAGGAAATGACTAACCACCAAAAAAAAAAGATCAGCTCAGATGATGGCATCTTTACTGAAAGACATTGCAGAAATAGAAATTGCTGTGGGAAACAATGTAAAGCAGCCTGAGGAAAGTGGAACAATGGATGAAGAATTCACTCTTTACAAGGCTGTACATTAGCAAGATGAAGTCGGAAGTCAAAACAATGGTAAAGTGCTACAAATAGAAAGCACACAAACTAAGAGGAAAAGATGAAAGAAAATGAAAAGGAGTTAGTAGTGTGCCTGCTTCATAGTTCTTCTCAGCAGGAAGCCAACATCAAATCATTGACTGTCTTCAAAATGTGGAGCAAAATAAAAGACAGCTGGAGGAATCTGTCAATTCTCTCAGTGAAGAGGTTGTCCAACGTTTTGAGCCCAAGAAAAGGCTTATGAAATGGAAATAGAAAACCTAAATAAGATTTATTCTGCAAATGAAGTTAAGCACACTGTTGAACAGCAGATGCAAGTTTACAGGGAAACTCGTCAAAAACAAATCAGTAGTTTGAGAGATGACCTTGTTGCAAGAGAAAAACTTATAATTGCTCTTCAAGACCTAAGTCAGAAATGATGTTAGAGCAAGAGCATTAAGAGTAGAACATGAGAAGCTGAAAGCTGCAGATCAGGAAAAGAATGGAAAACTACATGAACTTAAAATTATGCAAGACAGACAAGAAAAGGCATGACAACAATTTAAGGGTTTGGAAGAGACACTGGCAAAGGAACTTCAAAGTTAGCACAATCTGTGCAAACTCTGTCCAGGATGTGGTTATCAGAATTAAAAAATGTGCCGAGATTAATTCTGATGATACTGGAGGCAATGCTGCTCAAAAGCAGAAAATTTCCTTTCTTGAAAGAAAAACATCTCAAACAATTCATGAAGGCGCACTGTTGGTATGTGACAATGCAGATCTTCACTGTGAACTTTCTACAATGGAGAAGCTACTGGCAGCTGCAGCCCAAAGAGTGAAAACTTCAGAGGCAGTACTGAAAGAAGCCATAGAAAATGCACCTTGTGATCACTAATGCAAGCAGCTAGAAGTAGAGCACATAAAGGAAGCAGTCAGGCCAAAGAGCATGACCAGAAGAGGGCATTCTGCACAAACTGTTAAGCCTATCCATCTTGTGAGGTGTCCAGCAGTGTCTCCAACTCATCCAAGTGCAATTTGTGGAGGGGGAGCATTTGTGCAGAACAGCCAGACAGTAGCACCGCAAGGCGGTGGAGGCAAACAAGTGTAAACATGTATGCATGTTCACAAGTACTGAAAAATAACTGAAGCATGAAGAGGACACAGTATCAAACCCTCATTCAGTGACTAATCTCTACTCCCTTGGTATTGTAGAATAATAACTTTTTAAAAATTGCATAAATGACACCTGCCTGTACAGCTGTGTCCTACTCAATCTTCTTGTGAACTCTGCTGCTTCCCAACACATCTAGAGTTCAATTTTGGCATTTTAGGAGGGAAAGTGACAGTTTACACTGTGGCCTTATTTATTACACAGTTCATCATTTGTTTCTTAAATTTAGTCTTCTCTGAGCCAAGCTGACTGTACCTTATAGGACTGTACTTTTTGTATTTGCCTTTTCTTTATATGTTTGCTTTTTAATTTTAGTTTGAATAACCTGTCTGCTACTGCTTCTTGTGTGTGTGTGTGTGTGTGTGTGTGTTTGTGTGTATATATATATTTTTTGCTACTAACATTCTTCCTGTTTTTTTTTTAAAAGGTAAAATTCAACATCTTAAATTTTACCACTTATAACACTAAAATGCTGACAAAATATATCAGGTCAGGACTGTATTTTAAAATCCCTTTGAAATCATGGTTAAAGTTATTTGTGTCACTTCTCACATTTGCTTTTGAAAACTTGTCTTGCAGCTGCCTAACCAGACATTTGAGACTGAACAAGTGACCCTTATCTCCTGCAGTGCCTGGTGCCCAGTTACTCTGAATGAGAAGATTTCACATATCAAAAGCAAGTTTCAGTTAAAGAGGACTTGGAAGAGGAATTGTGTCTCTCTTTCTACTGACTGTGTACTTAACTAGGTGGATGGACAGAAAATGCCCTGCTTCATTCTGATGAGCCTGCTAGTTAATAGAAGAACTGGCTAGAGAGTAATTTGTCATTCTTAATATAGTAAAATTAAGATATTGTGGAATTAAACAATTTCATATTGTTAGATACTATATTGGCTGACATACATTTATAGGCTATGAAAATTGAGAAAATTTTGAAGAAACAGAGCAGATACACATGGAGTTAAAAATACAAAGGTAAATTTTGGTCTGAAATCTTTGAGATGTTTTTAACTTCCTACAGTAAGTCATACACTATATTTTTTTCTTCTTTTGTTTACAAATTATTTTTTTAACAGTCAAAAAATTTTGCTGTTGTAGCCTGCAGCTCTTAAAATGATTGTGAACCTTTTAGGATATAAAAAAGCAACAAGAAAGAAAAAGAAAGCTACAGAAGTTGAGGTTGAAACCTGGTGCAGCAAGATTGAAGTAATACTGTTGCAGAGAAAGTGCTTCTTCCTTCTTCTTTGTGCTGATAGTTTCCTAAATGAAGTCATTTGGCTACATCCATGTAGACATTTTTTTCAAATGAAAAATTATTACTTTGTCAATATTCATAAAGGAAATGATGTTTGTCTTCTCTGATTTTGTAGTTGTAAGATATATCATGGGTATTGGTGCTGTGTAACAAACAATGAATTATAACAACCATGTGGTTCAGAATACATGATGTTAAGTGTTTAAAATGACTTATTAGTTCTTTTTATGTATAGTTTCAAATTTTCATAAAGTACACAAAGAATTTCCTAAATTTTCTCTCAGTGAACTGTTCTTTTGGCTATAGTAGGTCATTAAACACAGCATTTATTCTTATAAATGGAAATTTCTGATCATCTACATTATTTCAGCTTGTGACTTTTTTTACTTTTATTTTTTTGGACTGGATGTATTAACATTGCTCTGAATGGTATTGATATATATTTCAGATGAGAAATCCAATGACATAAAACTAATATTTATTCATGGTGACCCATTATTTAAATTGTTTTCCTAATTTAGGAAACTAAGTTCTGGGCATAACTTTCAAATTTGTGTAACTCAATGAAGTAGTAAAATTTGTGTAACTCATGAAGTGCTGGTGGACAGTTTGAGTCTACCTGTGGAATATCTTGCTATGTTCAGTGCTTAAAAATACACTCACAGGTAATTGATTTGTGAAAACACTATATAATTTTAAATTAGCTTGTACGCTACAGGTGTTTTATGTCTAAATAAAAAGGAAACATTTTTTAAATATTAAAAAACAAATAAATGCTTGAGAGTAAAAGCCCACTTCATAGTATTTAAATCATTTCAATTTTCAAAATTTAGGCTAAAAGTAAGATGAAATCTATTTTTCTTTTCAAGATGCCTGATCCATGAAACTGCCTAATAGATACAATTTGTACTCACGAAGGATCATCGATGACGGTCTCCAATGCATTGAGCAAATCTGTTCTTGTCATTGTGATGAAATCCAATCTAATGGCTGCACCCTTTGCCTTCATGTGAACAATGTTATCAGCTTGATCATAAAAGAGAGGAATGCCCACCATAGGGACCCCATGGTAGATCGCCTCATAGATGCCATTGGTTCCACCATGAGTTACAAAGACTTTGGTTTTTGGATGACCTAGGATTTGGGAGAATTTAAGAAAAATTATTGATTAAAAATCTTAAAAATAAATAAAGAAATTATAATATAAGGCACTAAGAGATGAAGTCTTTTCTAGGTAATTCATTATTATAACCACAAAACTATGTTAAAAGTGTTCAATCCATGGAGAGGTAAATGAAGGTTTCAAGGAATAGGTGGTGTGTGAATTGAGTCTTGATAAAGTAAAACAAAAGTTTCCAGGTGGACAAAAGAAATAACATATCCTGGGAAGAAGGAAATAGCATGTGAAAACATAGGCAGTGCGGTGAGAGCGTGTGTTCTCCTAAAGACACAGTAAAGCTCCTGAGTTTCAAGATACAAGTAAAGATGGTGTTTTAGTTTTCAGTTAAATTTGAAGTAGTACTCAAAAGGATAAGTATGAGGTACTAGAGAGAAGACATAAAGCCAAGGTGAGAAGCGATTGATCATAAAGACTGTTACTGTGTGTAATAAAATGCCAATAGTTCTTTATAAGTTTCCCCTAAGACAGGAACATAAATGTAAAATTGATAGGAAGCTTTTGCATTGTTCATAGTAAATTTTCAGTACATTTATTTCCTGCCAATCTGTTATCTTGTCATTTGTCTGTTTCTTATGTTTCAGGATTTGTTCTGCAGAGTCTCACCAAGAAGGTCATTCTGAGGAATCCATTTGTACAGCTGAGTGTTGGGTCCCAGGGTATCTGGTTTCTTGCCATCAAATCTCCATATCACCTTTTTGGGTAAGAAAACCTCCAATTATTTTAATCTAATTTTAAATTATAGCACAAATAAAGGTTAAAGAGTTTAAGAAATGACATAATTAAACACCTATCATGTGACAGATAATGAGAACTAGAGATGATAATGATAACTACTAAATTGGTAATGTACATAGAATGCATACTTTTCATCTGTTTAGTTTGTATTTAATTGGGTTATACAGCCTCAATAGCTCATAAATTGAATCTTTGAGGAATTCATAAATATTTTATATATATATTTAATATATATATCAGAAATAGTTGCTATAGATATAGTGCAACAATCTATGAAAATCTGATTACACACTGAAGAATCTATATTTTATACTAATTCTGAAGTGTAAATATCAAGCTGCCATTTTAAAGTACTATTTGAGGAAGTGTATTTATAATTATTTACTTCATGTTACTATATTAATGTTTGGAAATAAAAACTATATTTTTAATTCATAGAGTTGATCCTTTCTCTTGCATATTCCTCTTTAAGATATTGCAGGGGAAAACCATAGTAGATTGAGATTTCACTTTCTCTAAGTTTAGATTCATTTTCTCTAAGTTGATTCGCTTGGTACTTTCACTCTGAGTTGCGATATTTGATAGCTTTCTCCTTAGTAGGACAAAGTCAAAGAATGTGACACCCACAGCCTAGAAAAAAAAGTTTATTTGGATCATATTTTCAGTACATTTAATTCATGATTGGCTGGTCCTAGTAAGAAATATCAAAGAAGAAGGGCATGGCAGAACAAAATTTTTTAATGTTGTTGTCTGGAAAGCAAGGGAGAGAAATAGTGCCAATGAGGAAGGGTCATGAATCAGATAAAGTACTCCCAAAAATTCCTTTGGGACATTTCTACAAACATTAATATGCATGTTTCACTGGCCCTCTGCAGTTAATGATACAAACAGGGTGACAATTAAACTTAACATTGACATTCTACTCCTTTTCTATTTGATACTCAAGTAAATCTCCTTAAGACATACTTAATATCAAAAGAAAGTCAATACTCAGGTCATAATTGTGCCTAACATGATACAACTATGCTGTGTAAAACTGAAAATTTGATAGTCCTTTCCCAAAGTCTCAAGAGATATGGCATTGCTCAGAAATGCAAGCAAAAATCTCCTCTGAGACTCAAAGAACATCTTATTTGTGAACCCCTATACAATAATATTGGTTATGTGATCCCATGGTTTAGTGTTTCAGCATAAGTATTTCATTCCAAGGGACAAAATTAGCAAGACAGGAAAGCATCAGACAAAAGCAAGCCTGAAACTCAATAGAGCAAACATTAAGACCTGGTGCTTGAGGTCTGACATCCAGGATACATGATGATGATGTGTGAATTCCAATGGACTTGAAGAGCCGCATTCCTATTCCCTTGCTGGTTGCAGTCCATGTAGCCTCTCTCTGGTTAGGTTTCCTCATACTGCCTATGACTCTCGTTAGCAGATGTTCCCCAGTCCTAGGTGCCCTGACTCCCCAGACTGCACTCTACATTCTGCTTCATTAGAAAGCAAAAGCTCCAAACACTGTCCTCTCAAGAGCTCATTTGCTGACTATCCTTCCTATTAGCACTGTGATCTTCTCATCTCCGAGCAGAATCTCCAGTCAGGCACTACTCACAGTATCCTGGGCTTCCCTATCCTGAAATGATTGGAGAATCCTTTCCAACATTTTCTGACAAATCAGTTTCAGTAGCTTCCAAACCACATTGATATAGTCACAACAATGATCCCATTTGCCTGGTACCACTTTTCTGTAGTGGGCAGCTTCCCTGTAGCTCAGATAAAGTATTCAATACCCACAGCTGAAGGAAAAGACATTTATCTGGCTCCTGATTCCAGTAGATTCCATCCATGATTGGCTAACTCCATTGGAAAAACATCACAGGGTAAGAGCACAGCAGAGCAAAACTGCTTAGCTTATGGTGGCTTGGAAGCAGAGCAAGGGAACAGTGCCAGAGAGAAGGGCCAAGAGACCGTGACCCAAGGTCATGCCTCCACTATCTACTCACACACATATGAGAGTGCCATTTACCAATCTCCTGGGTAGCTCCCAAGCCAACCAGATTGACAGTTATTCTTAGTCTTCATTCTTGATGTCATTCTCATCCTTTTTCTGAATAGCACCAAGAACAGCATTATGGATAGGCCCTTTCCAGTATTTATGGGAGCATTAATTCACAGAGGTGATGCTCCTGAGTAATGCACATCTGACTAGGTAATACTTGCTTATTTTTATTGTCCTGCTGTTTTGATTCATTAAAATTTAATCAGATTCTGATAAGTTCTGTAGTATACACATGTCCTTAATAATCTTGGAAGGAAAATGAAGAAACAATAGGACAGAATTTGATGATTTCTGTGTCTCTTCCTGCAATACCACTCTAAAACCAAGTTCACAATACACTTTTTTTTTTTTAATTGAGTTTATTGGTACATTTAGGGATACAGTACAGTTACATTCATTGTTGGGATCATGTACCTTTACATGGCAAGTCTTGATTCTCATTTTTTTCCCCTTACCTCTGCCCTCCCTTCACCCCCTCCTCCCCTCCCCATCTACAAACACTTTATTTTCATCTTTTCATTCTCTCACATTTTTTTCTTTTCCCTTTTTGTTCTTCCCCTACGTATCACACCTTCCCTACACCTTTAGCTCCTTTCCTCCCATTTCTAAATGTCAGGAATCTTATTAGAATCTTATGCATTGTTGCAGAATATTCACACCAGGGAAACTATTCAGTATTTACACATGTGGGACTTATTTATTTCACTTAGGAGTATATCTTCAATATGTATCCATTTTCCTATGAATGAATCTATTCTCTCGCTCTTTATGGCTGAGTAATATTCCATTTTATAGAAAAACCACAACTCAAGGACAAAAACCATATGATCCTCTCAATAGATGCAGAAAAAGCATTTGATAAAATTCAACACCCATTCATGATAAAAACCCTGCAAAAAATTGGAATAGATGGTCTATACCTCAATTTAATAAAGGCTATTTATGAAAAACCATCAGCCAACATCATATTGAATGGCCAAAAACTGAAAACCTTCATGTTAAAATCAGGAACAAGACAAGGATGCCCACTATCGCCACTTCTCTTCAATATAGTTCTGGAAACATTAGCCAGAGCAATTAGACAAGAGAAAGAAATTAAAGCAATAAAGATAGGAAAGGAAGAAGTTAAACTATCATTATTTGCTGATGATATGATACTCTACATTGAAGATCCAAAAAACTCCACCAAAAAACTTCTAGACTTAATTCACAATACACTTTTTAAATGAAAGTCTAACTAATCACAATGTTATACAAAGCACCCTGTGTACCCTATCAGCATATGGCAGACATCTTTGTTTTAGAAGTGGTTTATGGCTTACATGAGCAAAATCATGAAGGTGCATCTCTCACCATGGAAGTTTCTGTAATCAGACTATTTACAGCCTCATTAGTTAGTAGTTATCCACCACTGAAGCACTTTATCTCACCTTTTGTGGAATCTGAGCAAGGGCCCATGCAATTACATTGGCTCTTTCTTCTGTCACATTCCCAACCATTGACCCCAGAGAAAACAGCACAACACCATGTTCCCCAGAGCTCTGCACAAAGTCTTCCATTTCCTGCAAAGACAGGATTGGGTCCATCAGAGAAGAACAACACCAGCCCACAACATTGAAAGTACTGTTGAGGAAAGGAAACTATGTAGTTCCAGCAATAATTACAGTAGTGGCTTTTATAAAAAGTTATATGTATATATATATGTGTGTGTGTGTGTGTGTGTGTGTGTGCGCGCACGCAAGTGTGTGAGTAATACACTGTTTTTGAAAACTCCAAAGTATTTTCATCTTTCAAAAATGAAAAATTATCAAATTCAAGAAATCCTCCTTACTTTTTTACCAGAACTTTGGTCACCATACTTATTTCTATTAATACTAATTTGCCTAATTTAAATACTACATAGAACTGGATTCACATAATATGTCTCTTATATTTTGAAGGGCTATTTTTAATTAATTTAATGTCATGTTTGCTCAGGATAGACAGAATTTAGAAACCACCCCCAGAAGGAGACTCCAATACTCTCAAACCCAGTAATATTCACAGACGCTGGAACAGAGAAAACAGTGGACTGAGCTCAGCATGTTTTCTGAGGCTAACTCATAGGGCCTACTATGAATATTGCTACTACCAGGACCAGAATAGATGGCCATTTTCGACCTCGGAAGAAAATAATTATTAAATGAGGCGTGTGTCTCAATTGGCTATGTTTACAAGGGAGGAATATTTCTGTGTGTACAAACTTTATGTACTTTGTCAATAAATCTGCTAAAAGACACCTAGGTTGCTTCAGTCTATTCATTGTCAGGAACAGAGCTGCTATGATCATCAGCATCCTTCCATTAACAGATATTGTCCTTCCATTTTAAGATATTTCCAGAAGCAGAATCACTGGATCATAAGCTAAACTTCAATCTTATTATCCATTTCTACCCTGTTTTTTGTATTGTGTTTTTTAATAGACCTCATCACTCAGTCTCATTGGAAAGTGATTTCTCATATTAGATGAATTTCCTTTATTATGTTTATTTGTGTGTGTGTGTGTGTGTGTTTGTGTGTGTTTCTCTATCTTTGTGAGTTTTTATAAGAGATGAACTGGATCCATACATCCTCATTAAAATGATTTTTTCCTTTACCAAATTCCTGTCTATTTTTTCTTAAATTACTTGTCATGTAGGTTTTGGCTTTAGGGCATTCTGTCTGCATGCAGGGAATGGGTACTGTTCTTTGAGTTCTTCATTTGAAGCCACTGTACTTTAACTTAGATTCTTCTTAATTTGCCTTAGCAAAAATCCACCAACACTAGAACCTGATCACCCTTACTGAATTTTCAGGTTCCTCAAATTCTCTGTCTGAATGATATCTGATCTCCCACATTTTTCTTTAACAATTACTTCATTACATCAGAATCTCCAGCTTGTGATTTTTATTTCCTCTTAGTAATTTCCTTCCCACAATCCTGCCCTAAGATCTTGTCTATAAAGCACCCTTTCCTTATATTGAGTGTTGACCTAATTTCAGTTGCACTGGTATATTTAAATATGGACTTCCAAGATAATGTCTACCTGTCTTCAGTAAGTGTCAGAAAAAAGTTTTTTTTTTTGTTTTGTTTTTAATTTCAATAGGGTAGTGAAACTCAGAGAGGGTAGAATTCATCACTGGAGTACTGAGCCTCCCACCAAGGACCATAAGTGGGTATCTCTGAAATCTTTCTCTGCACTTCTGACTAGTTGGATAGCTGTTAATGAATGAATTAAACTTCTGTACCACTATTCTTGAAGACTTTCTATTGAAGTTGGCAAGGACAGACGTTGTTATGAATAACACTCTTCTCCATAAGCTGAGATAGATTTAAGAGAAAAAGGGGCAAGTTTAGTTTCCTAGGTGTCTCAGCATAACGGGGATGAATACGAGTCTTTGGCAAACATGAGCTGGTTATATTTGTAGGCTTCTTTGATTGAAATGCCCTGTTTGGCTGACTAGATATGAGGCCTTCTTTTACTTCCCATAGGAACATCTCAGTAGAATTAGAACTCTTTTTCAAACTCTTCATTTTACACCGGGGATTTAGCTCAGTGATTCCAGTGCCTGCTTTGCAAGCTCAAGGACCCTAGTTCAATCCCTGGTACAAAAACAAAACAAAACAAAAAAACAAAAAACAAACAAACAAAAACCCCAAACTATTTATTTTACACTTTTTCAACCTCCCATGCTTTCTTCTCATAGCTGTCATTTTTGTATGAGCAATATGGAACTTCAAGGCCACTTAGGGAAATTTAAGGAAGGGCCAAACCTGCTCCTAGAACTTGCCTCCCTTCCCATCACTTCTGTTCCTTCTTCCTTTACCACACTTATTTACCCCTCAGCTCTGTTCATCCTTTCAGATGTCATCCATCAAATTCTTTTCAGGTCTTTCCCTCACTACACTCACACATTTCACTTCCCACTTCACCTTGGGTTCCTACATTGCTGGAGTGTCAGTCTAGGGCTTTAAAGCAACTCATTGGTCCCCCAATGCAACTGGAGCCCTATTGAGTATGTTATTTACCCAGATAGGCTCAGAAGTCATTCACAGGGAGGAAGGTCACCTGTGTCCTCATACTAAAATGCAGCCCAATCTTCCATCAGACAAGCCAGCCACATGAGGAGGAAAGAAACCCTTAAATGTTTCTGTATAAATAATGCCTCATAAAGTTTCACTCTTCCAAGTGGTATTACTAATTAACTCAATAGAATTCAAATTTCTATTCAAAACATTTGGAGTTAAATGACTACTTATATAAGTAAAGTAAAACTCAAGTCCCAGAAATTAAGAAAGATTGAATGATACTTTTTATATTCTCATGATTAAAATAAATCTTTGGTAAATAAAATTAGTTTTATGTTAATGTTCTTATTAAACTAATTGTTTTTTGTCAAAATTTTAAGTATATTATGAACTTATATATTTTTTCAGCTTTAATTGAGTTTATTGGTACATTTTAGGGATACAGTACAGTTATATTCATTGTTGGGATCTTGTACCTCTACATGACAAGTCTTGATTCTCATTTTTTCCCCTTACCCCTGCCCTCCCTTCACCCCCTCCTCCCCTCCCCATCTACAAACACTTTATTTTCATCTTTTCATTATCTCACATTTTTTTCTTTTCCCTTGTTACCCTTCCCCTACCCATCCCACCTTCCCTACTCCTTTAGATCCTTTCTTCCAATTTCTAAATGTCAGTAATCTTATTAGGATCTTATGTATTATTGCAGATTGTTCACACCAGAGAAACTATTCGGTATTTACACATGTGTGACTTATTTATTTCACTTAGGAGTATATCTTCAATATATATCCATTTTCCTATGAATGAATCTATTTACCAATCACATTACTTTAACAGGAAACAAACATTATTAACTAGATTTGTTACGTATGTTTCCCTAAAACCATTTTCTAAAATCCTTTTGGTAACTAGATACCTTATATATGTGCTATGTTATTCAATTCATGTACACATATTAAATAAGTAGACCATTGATGGCAAACCTTTTAGAGCTTTCAGTGATACAAAGTGTCATCTCTGACATACATGTCATACACTTGCTACCTCTGAACAGGACCAATTCTCATTAGGCTTATCACTAAAACACTATTTTCCCTAAGAATGTATTTATACACTTTTGACATGATGCTTTGAAGCTTATTACATTTGTTCTGTTAATGAACACAAGAAATCATAGTATGATGAACTAATAGTAAAATTATCTGTGTCACAGAAACATTTTCTTGTCAGGTGGACTTTATGAAAAACTCTACAATCTACTATTTCCTGGCCAGCATCTTAGGTGCTCAGGCACCACACAAAGGCCACCTGCAAAAGAGCTGTACAGGAACACAGGCCACACCAGAAGCCCACCTGGACAATAGCAGCATAGGTGTGCAGGGCCCAGGAAGGGCTGCAAATAGACACCAGGAGCTTGGGTATACAGGCCCCATCCAGAACCCTGACTGGATAACAGCACTACTCAGGGATTCAAAAAGGCCATCATTCTGAACCCAGGAATTGGCCCAATGTTGAGCAGCTGAGAAAAGGCCTCTCTGAGGCTTGTTGATGATGATGGAAGCACTCTGTGTGAGTACAGCCACTTCAACAAATGCACAGAATACATCTGTTGAAATGAGAGGACTCAAAACCAGACTTCCAGATCACCAAAGGCAAACCCAAAGGGCAAGAAGGTGGAACAATCTGATACTCAACCACCTGGACTCCCTGAACTGACAATGAAAGAGGATCTGGAAAAAAATCAGAAAACATTTCTCAGATAAAAACAGAGATTGTGTCAATAGTGAAATACAGTGTTAATAACTCTAGAGCAGACACAGACCAAAGGAAAGAAAAATAGAGGAGCATAAAAACATACCCAGCATAGGAAAAAAATGGAATTCATAAAGCAGATGAAAATTAATATCCAGGAGATTAAAAACTCCATTGCACATTTACACAGTAGAAGGAGCCAATGTGAAGACAGAATACCAGTTAAAGAAGACAGGATTGCAATTAGTGATCAGGAAAACAAAGATTTCTTAAAAATAGTAAGGGACAAGCTGGGGAATAAGCTCAGTGGTTCTGCCTCCTGCCATGCATGTGCAAGAACCCAAGTTTGATCACTGGTACCACACACAAACACACACAAATTTCCCAAGCATAGGAGAAGAATTTGACATACAGATAAGTAAGAGATATAGGAGTCCAACTAGCCATGATGAAAAATAATCTACACCTAGACATATCAGTATCAAGATTCCAAAACCCAATACAAGAACAAAATACAACAAGCCGAAAAAAGAAACAAGTCACATACAAAGGAAAGCCCATCAGATCACAAAAGATTTCTCAATGCAAACCCTCAAGAGGCTGGACTAAAGTACTTCAAGCCCTAAAAGAAAACAAACTCTAACCTAGATTGATGCACCTTACGAAACTACTTTTCAAAATGGATGGAGAAATAAGATCCTTTCATGACAGAGAGCATCTGAGGAAATCTATGAATACCAAACCAGCACTCTAAAAATT